TTTTTTTTTTTTGTGCTGAATGAGTCTAAATACTAATTATGTTTTTCCATCCAAAGTACCTCTATTCTATGAGTTTGTTACGGCCAATTTCTTAAATTTCACTAATGCATCTGTCATTTCGATAATTACAAGACGCTTCCAGCAAATGACTTTGCAGGTTTTTAAGGTAAGATTTTGGCTGCCCGGTTCAGTTTGCCAATGATAAGTAATACAGCTGAACAATGTTTCAAACGAACACAAAAGCAGCTTTTTATTCGTGCATATTTAGACGAATAGATAAGCGTGAACAACCCTTCCACTAAAATATTTGGATAGTGACGTAAAACCGTGCCATTTTTAAAAAACAGCGAGGAACTTCAGCAAAAAAGAGAAGTACGAAGAATTCTAAAAAAGAAGCAGAGGAAAAATGGAAGATGCAAAATAAAACATAATATAACTTTTGTTTAACCATATAGACGTATCAAATTTGTCTGGGCACAATAGGAAATTAAAAGCATTCAAACGCACTGTGCATTTTTGAGGTCCAGCTATAAGATCAAACTTGTTTAAAGTTTCACACAGAAAGTCATGGAATTTTTTTGAGGTCCAGCTACAAGATCAAACTTGTTTAAAGTTCTACACAAAAAGTCATAGAACTTTTTAAGCATTCTACTTTTGAGACTGACGGATCATTGGTTCAGCGCGCTGAAAGGGGATTTTCAAGTGCGGGTGTTAAGTATAGCTGGCATTTCCCAGTGTTTGTATCACCCTGCAGGAAATTCAGTTTAAGTGCAAAGGCATTTGAGTTTGCTCTGTTGGAACAAAACTGGCGGTTGAGGAATTTCTCAACTGATCACAGTCGATTTCTAGAAAAGAGGACTGAAAAGCTAAATAAAGAAGGTTCTTTGGTATACGAGACGGACATTGTCTAAGAGACCATCGCAGTAAATACTATTGGAGATAAATTAATTGACTGCCTTACAAAGATAATTTGTCTAGAAAATTGGAGTTCATCCATTCTCCTTGTCACGCCAAAAATCAAATAACTGCATTTTTGCTTCTCTCTGATTTCTTCCCTCCACTAATTTTGAAAAAAAAAAGCTTTTGCATATTGACAGTTCCATATGACTCTTAACAGTTCAAGTTCAGAACAAAAGTTTAGTATTTTTTCAACAAAAACTTTCGTAGGCCACAAGTTACGGCAGTACCGTCTTACACCAGTTAAATGTTTTTTTATTAATAAACCTTTTCTGCACCAACTTCTCTTTTAATAATAATTGCATTTTTTAAACGCCGCTGAAGATAGGCATGCAAATCATTCACGCACTGTTTTATGGCTTTCTTAATATCAACGCGGCAAGCAATTTTAAATAATTAAAGCTTTTAAAAAAGATAGGTATTGTTTTTAGCAATTATGCAAGGAAGACCTCAAGACACTGTTGTGTCGTCTACTTAGCTACTGACGTTTATTTGACAACAATGATTAATATAAAAGCCAAAATGACGAAAACAGAACAATGATCTATGGCATCTGATCTAGAAAACTCCCGGAGTACTAGAGACAGAGTAATAGAACTACACAATACAACAGACACCAAGGAAAAATTACACTCGAATATGGCTGCTAAGCAAACAGAGTTTATGAAAGAGATCTTTCAATAAAATATATTTTTTATAAATTTTCAAAGACAGTTTTTATTCTTATGTTGAATTCCAGCTGCCTACTATTTTTTTCAAGAGTTCTGATTATACTTGAGATTTATACGTAAAAAGAAAAATGCAACAATAATTGTTGATCGTTGAGGGAGTGCCTTAACAGTAGACAATAAATCCCTTAATTGAAGCGTTTCAACCACAAACAAGGCAGAACAAAAATCACAGAAATTCGTTCCACAAAAAGCTTTTTTAGGAACATTATTTCTCTTTTTTAAAAACTTCTAATGAGCATAAATAATATATACCTTCCTGCTACTTTTTGATGTAGCATCCTCACTTTCTCATTAAAATCATTATTCAACTCGGCAATGTCGCCTATTTTCCCAAGAAAACTTCTCAGTTTGCTTATCGTGCATCAGTACAATTTTTTCGCCTGAAGAAGATTCTCACCTAAGTGCTGTTGTGACTGTGCTTATCTCATAAATTTTAAGATATTCTGTTTCCCAAATGAGTCAAAGTCTTTCCGTTAACTGACTTGTTTTGTTATGATCTTCGAGCATATTATCCCTACCTGACGGTAGGATACAAAGAATCTTTCTATTTATTTGAAGTTATTTTGTTTACAGTTGCTGTGGTAAATCTTTATTATTCTCTTAAGGATTACTAAAGGTTTGTTTGACCAGTGTTTCCCTTTCGTTTATAAGTTAAATTCAGTACGGCAATATTGTACGGACAGTGAACTGGTGCTCAATGACCTTCATCTATCTACCTGTATCGTCCTCTGTCCAATATTCGCTTAGTTTTAATATTTGGAGATTTCAAGTCAATAAAGAATTATTAGATAAGACAAAAAGCTCAGCAGAATAACCATCCAGTCCGCACTCAAAGCTGTACACAGTTCGCAACTTAGTGGCGCAGGCTTTGGCAACTACAACTGCTTGCTGAGAATCAAGTGTAGAAAGGAAGATCTTCGTAGGGGCGCTGTAGAGGAGTTGCGAACAACACCCCCAATTAAGACGACCTGTCGATGACTGCGACAGTAAATAAGTTGACCCTTGATTTTTTTGGCATGTAATGCATCTTTTTGAACATGACATCCTTGAGGTATTGTCCAGCACACATGAGTTTCTTTAATAATTAGTCAAAACTATTTACCTTATTGGTTCAGCAACGCTGAAACTTTTGCTCTTTTGGATAATTAAAGATTCTCATATCGTCCAGCACGTTCGATGACTTCATTTTCTGTACGAAAACCTAATTAATCTGTTAACTTTTTTCCGCTCACTTTTTTGAGAGCCTATATTTGTGAGATATGTACACTTTTTGGGCGAGAATAACAAAGACAGTGATTTCCAGACACAGGTTAGTCAAGATTATTATGAGGTCAGTTAATTAAATGACAGCTTTCTCGAAGTTTAAGGTTTTTTGGAATTATCTTAGCGCTTTATTCTCACACTAAGTGAAGAAGATTCTTATATTCCCAAGCTTTCCAAGTGCCTATAATGATTAGACTACATCTAAAAAGGTACAGCAAAGAATGGTGTTAGTTGTAGCTACGTTTGCTGTTTTTAAAGACTACATAGCGATTTCTTTGCCACTTCGCAGAAATATTCAGATAAAGAGATATATTTTTTAAAAATTTAAAATTTTTAATAAAAGCAAAAACCTCTGTTCACAGCAAATTCGACAAGAACGTTTATATTTTTTGCTTGTAAAATTTCAATGATAAGTCATTGTACTCAGAAATAACACCAATTTTCTAGGTCCCATTTGGATAAAATTAAATTGATAGTGATTGAGCAAAGACTGTGTCAATGGCTGTACGTTAGTTTTCAATCACGACTAACAGCATACTTTTCATGTTGGATAATAATGAGCTATAAAATTCTACTGTGCTCAAAACAGCTTTGATTGGTTGTAAAAAAAGCTGCAGATCACTAAAGTTTATCTTGACTTCTTCAAATTCTGTCTGTTTGACTTTCAAGTAACAATGAGATTGTTTCCCTGCTTCTGCTTTATTTCTTTTCTGAGCATCTTATGACAGCATTGTTGCGAAGCAACATTAAGTGTTGCAGAGCTCATACTTAAAACAATAGAAAGCATTCAGTAACATTTATCAAATAATAGAAATTCAATAGAATTTTTTGTATGACCCGAACGGCTTCGATGGAATGCTATTTAGGGCATACAAAAGACGGGTAACATAAGTAAACATGCATCAACAAGCAAAAGCCTATTTAAGCAAAGTGCAGTGAGCTAGTAGCATGCTTGCTTTGGAACCATTCCTCTAGCCCCTCCTTCGAGCCTTTGTTCGTTTCTTAGTTTTTTCTTTTTGCTGTGAAACGATTTATTATATAAAGCGATTCATTATGTATATTGAGGAGCAGTCTTT